AAGGCAAAATTATAGATTATTTACAAAAAACTAACCATAAAATGTGAAAGCCGAATATATTCCAGAGTACTTACTATGTGCAGTTCTAGGTAGTCCCCCAGGCCTGAAGAACTGTCCACCCGCACCAGCACGGCTTCCTTCTGAACGGTGCTGAACCCTATGGCCAGTCTGTCTGCTCGGGTACTGGGCCGGTCATTAGGAGGCCACTTATACGTGATTTGTCCACCACCTTTGCTAAAGATGTACGTTGTCCCAGCTGGAAAACAAAAAGCAAAACCAATTAGCCGGAATATATCAAGTCCATACTTGAGCGAGGTTTATTACGTTGAAGTATCAATAAAATGCCGACTTTACACACAAAACTGTGGGAAAGCAAATCACAGATTTCAATCACACGTGCTCAACAAAGTGAGCAGAGTTGTTGTCAAAGAGACAGAGAGGTGGCTCATTTTTCACACTCATTAAATTTACCCACAAGTGTATCAGGACAAACAGTAGATGATGTCTTTTTCCATGGAGTTGGACAAGCATAAGATGTAATGAGGCTTTATTTGTTCCTGCCAGGTTTTAAGAAATGCTTTAGTAGAAAACACTAACTGGACACTTCCAACGGCAGCAGGAACATAGATCAACCTATCTGTGAAACAGGAGCTGCACGCAGATAGCTGCAGCCGGGTCACATAGCACAGTGGAGCAAATTGCAACAAACAAGCTCCAAACCCAACTCTTCTGGGGAAATGGTCTAGTCACATGTGACGGATGATAACTAATGGATGAACTGACACAAAGCCTAGTAGTCATCTCAACAAAATACAGATAACAGATCAGGCCTTATTTAACAAGCAACATCTACCCGCTGTCAAACTGTTCGGAATCAAACTTTTCAGAATCCCTTCCCCCCACCAAAGTGATTACTAACCTAGAGCACTATGAATAATGCTGTGGTCTCCTTCTCTGAGACCTCAGACTTGACTTTATAGTAAGTAGTGATGCCAGTAAATTATGCAACATAATTTAAAAGAGCTTTGTTTCAAATAAATGTCTGCAGCATCTAACACACTACAGTCCTACCTCATTGCACCACTGACACCTTGCACTAAATGTAACAAAATGAATTCCTCGAATGATAAGATTTGGAAGAGACATGCAAAGATTTATATAGGAGAAGAAACCTTTTGCCACACAAAAGGGGACCAAGAAATGTTAATTGGCTTAGCCTAAGAGCAACCCTTAGGAAAAATTCATAGAGGGGGAAGTGCTCCTATTGTGATGGATATTGTTGTGGGTCAACTTGACTCAGCCAGAGGGATGCCCAGACATCTGATGCAGTATCATTTCTGCAGGTATCTGTGAGGGTGGTTCTGGAAGACTGATTAACCAGACTGCTCTACCCAAGGGCCAATCAATTGAGGGCTGGAATAGAGAAGAAACGCAAAGAGAGGGAGAGTTCATTCTCTGCCTGACAGACACCTGACTGCTGAAACTTGGACGCTGCCCTTCTCCTGGCTTTGTGGCTTCCTGTTCTCACACCTTCAGACCTAATCTAGCATCTACACCAATGCTTTTTCACTACTCAGGCTTTCAAACTTACCCACTGCCTTGCTGGTTTCCAGCTTGCAGACTGTCGATTCTACATATACATGTACATACACCACACACACATACACACACACACACACACACACCCCTCTGTATATCCTGTCGGTTCTGTTTCTCTGAGGAATCTTAATATACCCACTATGTGACAGACATTGTAAGGAAAGCAGTAATAGAGAATAGCAACAATTACGCCACAAAACATCTTGTGTTTATGGAAAAATTGTTTCTTCTAAGAGTAACATTGATGTGTAAAAGTTGTGTATACAGCAGTATGTTTTTAAGATATCTATGCATTAAATTTCTGTGGTTGCCAAATGACTAAGTGAAGTTGACTTACTATCACATTTGTGTGCCTTTAACAGCTGATAATACTGGTTTTGTGGCTGCTTTTTAGAGGCAGCCATTCTTTGCTTTCTGTCTCACACACTTTCATAGGTCCTTAGGAAACTTTAAAGACCCTGCAATGTGTGACTTGTACATGATGGTTAAAAGACACTGGTGTACAGACTTGTCCCAAAAAACACAACAGGGGGAACTGAATGTAAACGTGATACACCAGAATACTACCTGCATTAAAGTGCAATGGGATAGAGGTACTGTCTATGAATTGTTTTATACCAATACATGAAAGCAGTTTATTTCCCTCAAGTAAGCAAAGGTGAATCATATTTCAAAGGGCTCAGACAGTGTGCAAGCAAAGAAAATTCACAACATACAGACTGTGTGTCAAAAATGCCACAAGTTTCCTGACTATGTATGTCTCACATCATCAGAAGCTTGTTTCTGAATATCAATCAGAAAATACCATTTGAACAATTTGTTTCTGCTGGGTAATTTTCGCAGATGATTAAGGATTAATTTGTTTAGTAAAACCTATGTCAAAAAAAAATAGGACGAGAACATATAAAAGTGGAGATAGCTATAACAGGAGGTTGCTGTGTTCACCCTCCACGCTGATACTCAGTAATTAATTTTCTCCCTTTTAACTGACTGTGTTCTTTAGTGACTATGTATTTCTTATGAAATAAGAAAAATATTCCCAACTAGAGATATTGTTACATTAGCAATATAAATCATAAAATGTATCTAAGAATTCAGATGTTTTCTAGAATTACCAGAGTTAGCAATATAAAGCATTAACTTGCATTAAATGGTAATTTTTATCCTTAAAAAAATCACTTTCACAAAGAATTTCTCACATTTTTTAGTGTATAAAAAGTAGGTCAAACATTACCTCCATGTTATACTTGAGGACATTTAGTTTTAAGGACTGCCTTTTTATCTGAAGTTGCAAACTTGGTTAAGTGGCAGAACTGGTATAAAATCAGTATCCAGACTCCTATTCCAGTGCGCGCACACACAAATATATATTTATTTATTACAGAAAAGTTTCTGTTATCATTATAAGACAGTCAAGGAAAAGTTAATTGGATATGTCAGTCTGAATTTATCAAGGCCGGCTGTTATCATATTCGAATGTCTTATATCCATACAGTGGCATTTACATCTCATTATCATATACTCTCTTTTCACCTCACAATGCTTTTAAAAAGAGAAAAATAGCATGTAAATGTGAAATGACAGAACATTTAATATATGTAGATTAACATTTAGTTAGGGTACGCTTCCCAAACTTATCGAACTATGAAAGTTTCAAGTTGCTCAGTTACAGAACTTGAGGATAATAATTTAAAGGTTTCTATTTCCAGAAAGATAAATGTCACAATGCAAATATCATAATTCAAGATTTGATTTCATCTCACATCTTCACCTTTTTCAATGACTGTAAGGTGACAGCTAGCATCCAATTAACAATTAGTCCTGCTTCTCATGACTTTATGTACAGTTGTTTGGTGTCACCAAAATGAAGCAAAACAATTGTAACTACTGTCTGCCAAATATGGTTATTATTCCCAGGTTTCTTCCTTTCCAGATGCATCCGGTGAGCAGTCCATCTCTTTTCTACACACAGCGGTGCACTGTGCCCTACTCATCAGCACAACTCCATAGAAAGTGGGAGAGTGAGACATCCAGTCCACCCCTAGCTCTCTTCCGCGAACCTCTATAGGCATCTGGCTTTCTTTTCTAAAACTCCACTTTGCGTCACACTTGACAAAATCTTTTATATCCTTAAAGCCCTCTCTCTATCAGGCTAGAAAATAACTCTCATAATCAAATATAGTAGGTTAGATAACTAAAGTTTCAAAATCCACTTCATTTAACATGTACCTTTCTGAACCAAGGACAC